CGATTTGGCCCCAAGTGATTTCTACCTGTTCGGAAGGCTCAAATCAGACTTGCAAGGCATGTGGTTTGTGGACAATGACGCCGTCATCCAGACTGTTCGGGAGTGGATACGCCGCCAACCACAAGTCTTTTTTTTTGGGGGGGGGGCTCAGGATGCTTCCAGAAAGTTGGAAAAAATGTGTTGACTCCGGAGGGGAGTACGTTGAAGACTGTCATGTGCAAGTAAGTGTTTGGCAATTATGTTTTTTTTAATCAGTCCCGGTCATATTTGAACCACCTAGTATTATGGTAAGGTAAAACTATCCCTGCAACAGGCCGTGAAGGCCCATAGGGTTGTGAGACGTCGAGGTTCACACATTTTCTAGACAGTCGGCTCACAGATGGCGGTAAGGTTGTCAGCCTTACGCGGCGGCCGCCATTTACTTCCCAGGAAGATTCTTGGTACTTATTTCTGTTAGAGGCTGAGTAGACCCCAGGGCCACAGTGCGGCTGGAAGGATTAGGTCAACTGAAAATATCCAATGACCTAATCCAGATTAGATCTCGCGACCTTCCGGCATGTAGCACAGTGGCTCAACTAACTTCGCTGCCTCGTGACGCCTATTTCCAGCTGCTTGAAGTATTTATCATAACAGCAGAAATCTTGAATATCTTGTTTTAGGGTTCATCTATCCACCTGTCACGCACTGGGCATGGACAGATGAAGGGTGGCTCAACAAGCTGGGGTACGTAGATTTCGCGGGCAGTGGGCCGATCCATTTGCTGGGAGGTGTGTGCTCCTTCTGCGCAGCCCTGTTCCTGGGGCCCCGCCTGGGACGGTTTGGTGCAGGAAAGGAACAGATAGTGGGACATTCTGTTCCGGTATGTCACTGTGTGAATTATCATGCAATCACGTGCAAATAGAATATTTGTATCGGTTACGAACAGGGCTGCAACGATTACATAACAAAATAATAATAATAATAATAAGTAACAATATTTTTCGAACTACCCATGAAATCAGACAATAACAATTAAGCAAGGTACATAAGATGCACAGAAAAGTATGCAGTCTACACAACACTATTCTGTATTCAAAACAAAGTAGACACTATAGTATAAAAAAAATGAAAACAGAACGAAAAAAGAACAAATACTGGTATGATAGTGCCTACTTTGTTTAAAATACAGAATATTTTTGTGTAGACTGTATACTTTTGTATACATTTTATGTACCTTGTTTATAACACACAACAGTACGCATACTATTAAGAAAAATACCAATTAAATCGCTCATTATTACATTATTTTAAAATCAAACTGATGAGCTATCAAAGATAACCTACAAATTGACATTTATGTTGTGTCAATATCAGCATTCTTTCGCCCATATGTCGTCTCTAATTACATATATGCATCGGCGATCCTGTCTCTCAGAACTTAGGACGTTCACAGAAATTAATGGCACCACAGCAAACATCTTTACATTTTCCCTTGAGTTACTAGAGGTTGTGCATTTACAACTAGTTTTGGCGCTCTCGTAATGAAACTCTGCACCTAATAACTTCGTCATGTCTGCCCCTCTCTTCGTCGGCGTTTATAACTTAAACCGTTGGCGGATTTTCATTTAATCTGATACTGGGTAGCTATCCACACACTGTCGGCGCATTACCATCCTAGTTTAAAAACCGACTAAAATAACTGACACTTTACATGTTAGCCTATATGCTCTTTTGTGTGATCTGGACAGTAACTCGATAACAACTCATAGGACAAAAAAGAATTAAAAACGGTACAGAGAAGAGAACAGCGAAGACAGGGCCGGATTTAAGAGGGAGTGACCGGGGCGGCCGACACGGGACCTCTTACTTACTTACTTACTTACTTACTTAATTATGGAGCTGAGCCCTTCTTGAGAATTGGTCTTCTCTGCAGCTACTTAATAATTTCCCAGCATTTTGTGGAACCCGGACGTTCATTACAGTGTTCACGAGAGCCATCCACTGGTCTCTATCCTGAGCCAGATCACTCCAAACCATCCCATCCCATTATATCTCTCTAAGATCCATTTTAATATTGTTCACCCACCTACACCTTGGTCTTCCCAGTGATCTCTTTCCTTCTGGCGTCCCCACCAATATCCTATATGTATTTCTTTTGAGTGAAGGATATACTCGTATTTATGTCTAATATAGTCTTTCAGTAAATCTTGCTGTTTTGAACATAATTACTCGCACATAAACTGAAGTGATAGACCCAGAATCTTCGCCCTCTGCACGCATATCTGAACTTGCATATTCAAAAATCAGCAACCGTGTTCCAAACATAAGCGAAGGTTACCCAAGTATCTTGTAATGAAAACTATACTAAGCTTGAAGAAAGCAGTCTTCTGGGATTTGGCACCGTGTATATNAAGCTTCCTTCTACCTGAATTTACATGTATATACATATATACCTAATTAAATATCATTAAAGGTGCCGTTACAACGGCCACATTATTATATTTAAATTTCGTTTATTTCAAAACAATTAATCATAAAAATGAGAAAACGCGCCACGATTATTACCTTATGCCTATATTTTCCAATTCATTTTACATATTTAATGTGGCTTGTCACAGATACCGCAGCTAACTTAAATGTAACGCTACTGCAGAAGTGATGAAATTGCTGGCGAAGTCTGAAATACAATTGACTCACGACAGCCGAAGCGGTACAGAGCTACTGATCCACTCACTGGCAAGCGTTTATTAGTTAAAAACTAACGGACGTGTATGGTGTCTCGTGCAGCTAACTGGGATTGGAGGAATGCTCCTCATCGTGGGATTCCTGTCATTCAACGGCGGATCCCTCGGAACCATCACGAACCCAGGTGACGGCGCAACGGTGGCCCGGGTCATGATTAACACCCTTCTCGGTGCAAGTGGTGGCAGCATGATCATTCTGGCCTCAACAAAAACCGGGCTCTTTGGTCCATCCACGTGGAACTTCAGCCTCACGCTGAACGCTGCTATTACAGGCATGGTAATTGTGATTACAGTGCGAATTTACATCAGCTTAGAAACGTAAACATTGTCATTATCTTCTGTCGTCCAGTTTGTTTCCAAAATTAAAAAACAGACCCCGTGACATGAAGTCCGCAAGCGAACTATACCGTCCGAGCGATCGTCGCTTGTCGGCGAAGTTAGTGACAACTTTTGCGGATAGAGGGTGTCACGTGGTCAGCGTAACGGATTCCCACGGCCGTTAATCTCGGTTTTCTAGACAGAAACCCCTAATTTCCCATTCAAGTAGCTCCTCATTTATCCTCACAAGGCTGAGTGGATCCCATTCCGGACTCACTACTTCACAGAAAATCTGGTAGGGCCGGAAATCGAACAAGGAACCTCTGAATATGTAGCCAAGAATTCTGACCACCAGACCACAGATGCGGTCCTTTTCCCCAAATCAAACATAATTAAATACTTACATGCGCAACAAATTATTTCACTTTTGCTTCATATCCCCATAAGACGACGTCACGCAATGGACTGAACTTTAATGAGATACATCAACATTTGGTCTATACTAATGATGTTAATTAACTGGGTGAAGACATATATACCTCAAGGAGAAGCACAGAATTTCTATACACGGTAGTCTAGAAGTATACGAGTACACAGGCAATACTGAACATGCTGTACGGTTTATTTTGTTTGGAGATTTGTTCTCGTATATATTGGTACAAATTGTTATCTGTTCTTCTGTAAAACTTAATTTTATCTAAAAAAAAAGTATTTATATGTATGTTAAGTGTATTCTAAATTCTAGTTAAATAATATATATAATTGTATTCAGACATATTATTATTTCACTGAAAATAGTCACATATTACAATATATTTAATATTTTGCGTGACATTTGAAAGGAAATTTCGTAAACCATCCTTTTGCCTGTTTCACAGTTGTTTAAAGAACTACAGGTTTAAGGGAACACCATGCCTGTCCCCTGTACTATCTTCCGGACACTACGGATTCATGGACCTTGGTATGAACATCATGTCATTACACATCACCCTACTTTTTCACTTTTGAATTTTCTACCGCCAATAATACGAGCATGGGATTTCGGACCTATGATCAAGGAGTAAAATAAGCGCCAATCAAGTAATTGATCGTTGGAAGATACGCAACTTGTGTAGAGGTTATATTTTTACAAGATGTAAAACAGCATGTAGCACAAATGGGGAGAACAGGAATGCACATAGGATATTTGTAGGAAATCCAGAAGGAAAGAGATCACTGGGAAGACCAAGACGTAGGTGGGTGGACAATATTAAAATGGATCTTAGAGAGAGAGACAGGGTGGGATGGTAAGGATTGGATTGATCTGGCTCAAGATAGGAACCAGTTGAGGGCTCCTGTGAACACAGTAATGAACCTTCGGGTTTCATAAAGTGCTGGGGAAATTCTTGAGTAGCTGCACAATTGACAGCTTCTCAAGAAAAACTCAGCTCCATGACTGACTGAGCGAGTAAAACAGCATGACGGTGGTCATGCGAAATTTATATTTACCGACTAAGCAAGTTGGCTCAAGCGGTAACGCTCATAATTTGCATTTGAGAGGTGTTTGGTTTGAATCTCAGCCTGGCATCGACTATCCTGACAAACACCTTTCGTGGTTTTACTCTATCTTTCCAAGCAACTGCCGGAATAGTATCTTAAGTACGGACTGGCCCTCTTCCTTCCGTACATTTTTCAATTCATAATTTACTACTGTCACGTGTAGGGTGGTATGCGCGACGAAATTAACGGGTTCTAGTTCGGATGATTGGATTTATTAGCACTTCGGTTACACTCTCTCTCTTAATTACAATTATTGCAGAGCTATCGCTGTTTCTACTCTTTATAATTAACTGTTTTACACACACACGCACTAGGATTCTCAGTTTCCACTAGTCTCTCCTAGCAACGGATCTCAACACTCCAACGGATCTCCATTCCAAATTTGTACCCAATTAATCTTCACATTCACGCTCCATTCTCGCCCTTGTACTCTCAACTGCTGAATTCTCCTGGGCTCTCCACTAACTTAAGTGTAAACGGCTCGTCGTTATATAGGCGCCGCATGGACAACACAGAAAACGAGTCACGTGATGGCTAGTACTGTTGGAATGTGACGTCACTGCGCCTGCGCAAAAGTGTGTTTACCGACCCGTTGTATAGAAGCGAGTTGCATAACCTCCTTGTTCCATTGTTGCATGCGTGTATCGAGGGGTCTTTATCTAGCCGTTGCCTGGCAGTGCGTTGACATGTCACAGTATCATCTTACCATTCGGTGCTATGCAGTATGTACGATGTACATATCGATTTAGAGTTACTATTATATAGAGCAAAGCATTTAAAAGAAAGTAGACGCCATTAATTTACCTCTGAAGTTAATGTTAATAATCTGATAAATGAAAGCTTTCTTCATAGTTTTGAATGGAAAGTATGGGGTATTCGAGAAGAAATTGAATCAGGACGCGGAAATAATTCTCTGAAGACTATTCAAATCGTTCCGAAACAGTGTGCCGATTTATCACTGTCGTCTGACAGATTACTGATGGATGGATGAATGAATGAATGAATGTAATAAAACTTTGTATTCATTGCAGGTATCCGTGTGCGCAAGCGTCAACAAGATGGAGTTTTGGGCAAGTTTCCTTACGGGAGTTATCGCTGGAGTCGTGTTCATAAACATCCACTACTTCATGCTCTGGTGCAAAGGTCAGTCATTACAGCAGAAGCAAATCATACATGGGATTTGGTTTCTCTTTCTTATTTCAACTGAGATATGTATTTTGTTCAGATCTGAAGTGGGGAAAATATTCTATACGAAGAATAGATTTCAAGTTCTGAGTTCTTATATCAGATCATTCAATTTTCCACCATGCTACAGTATTTAAGAAAGAAAACGGAAATACATTCTGAAGTGATCACGTACACAATTTTGTAAGAGACCCAGAGAACTAGCATAGTTTTGTGATCGCCGTGACCAGCCTCAGGATTGCTGTGCGACTAGGTAACTCAAGTCGACCAGAAACTGGCTACTCCGATCGCGCAATTTTAGTCACGGTTTCAGTCGCCTCGGTAGGAGAGGTCTCATAAAATGTGATGGATCAGCTGCAAATCCTCGAGTTGCACGCAGCCATGTTCATGCAACCGCTTGCGACAGATGGACAGCAGCCTTACTACTATCCATAGTAATCTTCAACACAAAACCCCTTCTATACAGCTAATATATTACACACTTGTATTTCTGCAAATGATAATGGATTTATAAACGTGATTATTATGTTCAGAATATGCGTTACTAAAATTCGTAAAATATATTTATATAAAAAAAAGATAAAGCTATCTCTGTAACACGCCTTGAAGGCCCATAGGGTTGTGAGACGTCGAGGCTCCCACGTTTTTTATAGACAATCAGTTCTCAGATGGCGGTAAGATTTTCAACCTTACGCGCTGGCCGCCCTTTGCCCCCAGGAAGATTCCTGGTACTCATTTCTGTTAAAAGCTGAGTCGACCCCAGGACCGTACTTTGGCTGGAATGGTTTTGTCAACTGAAAAATCCGATAACCTCACCGAGGATCGAACCTGCGGACTTTTCGGCTTGTAGCATAGTGCCTCAACCAAGTACGCTACCGCGTATCCCTACTAAAATACGTACAAGGAATAATAGACATGAAAGCTACACGTTAGCTCCTATATCTTGACACAACTGGATCCATAAGAAGAAAGGCAAATTCACGACAGCCGAAATGCCAAAACTTACTATGGCAGTTAAAAGATATTACAGCTGCCGATAATATAATGTATAAATTAATAAGTAGTTACTATAGGATTCTGACGATGGTGTGTAACACACTGATATGTTAGGTTTTTGGACTTTATCCATCGTCCTGGTTTTTAAGATAAAAAATAAAAACACGACGTTTCGGAAACTGGATCTGTTTCCGTCCTCAGGTGAAGGAAAACCCTATTCAGTTGGGTCCGTTAGAAAGAGCTAGCCTCAATCGGTAGTCGGTAATCCTGAAGGATTCAAATAATACAACTGAAAGATTACGCCGTCCCACAAGGGTAAATTTGTCTAGTAAATGTTTAATTCCAGTAAAGGAGGAGCAACTTAAACCTGTGGTTGAGGGGTCCGTATTTGTGGGCGCCCTGACTCGATTCTCGACCCGGACGCCGGCTATCTCGGTTAGGTTTTCGCTGTCTTTCTTAATTCCTCCCCGCAAAATCTGGAATAACTGAAATATGTCGCGCTTACTTCCCTCCGCAACTGACCTAATCATTCTGTCACTGGACTTCATATAACTATTTAATTGAGAAAGCGTCGTTAAATGAACCAAGAAACAAATGATTCATCCATTTCGCAAGTCGGCTCAAGAGGTAACACTACTGACTTATGTTCAGGGAGTGACTAGTTCGTGTTTCAGTCGGGGTCCAACTATTGTGACTGACACTTTCCGAGGTGTTCCTCAGTTTCTCCAGGCGAATGCTGGAATAGTACTGCAATTAAACTACGATAGATTCCTCTCATATCCTTTCAACTTTAATCGTCACTAACGCCCCTACCAATCGAATCCATATAGTCTGCGACACCAACAGCACTGTTAAACTGTCCCAAAATAGAAACCGATTCATTTGCAGTTGATGATCCACTAGACGCTGTGGCTGTTCATTTCGGCGGCGGGTTCTGGGGCGTCATATCTGCGTCGCTGTTTTCCCATGGAGGAATTGCTTACGGTGCCAACAAACAAGCTGCCATGGTAAAACTCAGAACTTTTCAGTCTTTGTCTCCCTTTTCGTTTTCCCTTATTTTTGCCTTTTAATTAAATTGTCCATTTAGAAACTAAGATTTGTGACATGTTACAAATTGGAGTGGAGGGGAGAAAGTGAGCAGAATTACAAGCATATAAAGCATCAAATTTCCTTTCTCCATATTAAGTACCGGTTACAAATAAGTGTAGAAACTGTCTCAGACTTACTCTGCATTAAGCTGCATTTGTCTGTTACTAACAGAGCCAAAACTATCTGACCAACTTCGTTCGAACTCATTATAGCAGACCTATGCAACATGTTACCGATATATTTCGATTTTTCTTTAGTCTAATTCACCTTAAGGTTCACTTTAATTACAGGTCTTTCTTTTTATTGCTAGTGGGGTGGAACTAAGTCCCTTGTACTGCGGCCACTTCTGGCCAATTGTACCAGCCCCAGATTATAGGTGAGGGTCATTGTGGAGCAATTTGTGGAATGAAGAGTGGCAGGGGAAACCGAAGTACTCGGAGAAAACTTGCACCAGCGCCAATTTGTCCACCACAAATCCCACTTGACCAGACCCGGGATCGAACCCGGGACGCCGCGGTGGGAAGCCAGCGACTAACCGCTTGAGCTATGGCGCGGCAAATTACGAGTCTCAGTGAAGATGTATGCACTATATTCTGCGGCTCCATTAACACATCTGGATGAAAATTATTGTACACCACTTTTATTACATTGTTATTACAATTTACCCTACAAACGCTATTCATAATAATTAAGTTTAAGTAAAGACCTAACTCAATTCTACACCACCTCTCCCTGTGATTGCGTCATATTATTTTGATGAGACGTGATATAGAATACTTCATTATAAATTATTACAATTTAGTTTACAAATTTTATTTGTAGTAATTCATTTTAAGGGTCACTTTACTTACAAGCCAAAATTACTTCTATAGCATCACTTTCATGTCCCCTTTAACACAATTTTACGGAACTGGAGATGGACACTTTCCCTATATTAACATTACAATTTAGCCTATAAGTATTATTCACATTAATCCATTTTAAGGGGTACTTTATTTATGGGACCAAATGAATCTTTTGCCAAATGCTGACGAAACTACGTGTAAAACTCTTGTATCGTCCAAGAGTTACAATTTACTCTGTGGAAGGTCACGACAGGGGGAGGAGCATATCAACAGAGGGGCAGACACTCCAAGTTTCTGTCCTACCTTACAGGTGCTCGATACATCCACCCTCCGTGACGCAGCACACGCTCGAGTCTCGGCCGGCCCGTTCGTTTCGCAGCGCACAGGCAGCCACTCTGATGGAATTTCTTGTACCACTCACGAATTGCTTTGTCCGTAGGTGTTTCTGTGTGGTTCTTGGTCCGAAACCTCCGCTACACCATCACAATTGACTCAGTTTTGGCAAATTCCAAGACACAGAACGTTTCCTCAACCCCTGTCCTCGCCATGTTTCGTCACGACTGCCCCATAGCGGTGAAACCTGCAAGTATGCCATGACCCTTATTATTCAAACAAACTTGGAGAGGTTCTTCACCTACTGATATTCTCCTTTCTGCTCTGTCTGTCTTGGTTGTTGCGCTGCGAATTCGAAGCTCCAGAGGGACTTAGGAGTTACCCATTAAACCTATAATTCATTTTAATTTAATGTGTTCAAAATAAGCCACTCAAAATATAATTACTACAGGGTGCGTCAATGAATCGGGCGATTTGTCAGCTGTGTTTCTCCCTGGATTGGTTTGAGTGGGGAGGATGCCACTACTGCCACCCAGCAGCCTACTTCAAAGCGTTTTAGTCGCAATGGAGTTGTGGACTGGAGTACAGAGCGCTCTTGCTGTGACGCATTTTACAAAAACGGTGTCAGTTTCGTGATCGCTCAGCCTGAATTTCGAAGGGAGTTTGGTATCCACTGCAGTCGTGCTATTCCATCTGCCCATGCCATCAAGACCTAGGTTCAAAACTTTGAGGCTACTAGTTCTACACTAAAGAATAAAGGCGGTAGCGTGAAAACAGCACGTACACCCGAGAATGTCGCAGCAGTGAGAGAAGCCATTGAACGAAGTCCATGCCGGTCTGCGCGTCGCCATGCTACATCACTAGGGCTGTCCGAAGCCAGCCTTCGGCGGATTTTGCACAAAGATCTCCACTTCTACGCCTATAAAATTCATGACATCATGGTTGCGTTCTTGTAAACCGCGATGTTATGCGAAACGCCGTTAAGCGGATACATTTTTAGCATAAGAAACTTAAGAAATAAGTAGGTTAAGTTCCTTAGCTTTTCTTCAACCCCCATAATATGCATTACAATATAGGCAGTATGAACGCGATGGTAAATATTTGTATGTTTTTGGCTATAAATGGATACAATTAAAACTACAATAATGTTTATTTAAAGTTTAATCTGATGTCTTGTATTCACCGATGGCCAAAGGCGAAGCGAGACGGTGGCGGGCGACGGCCCCGTCTTGTCAACAATAAACACTCGTTTCAGCGATTAACCCTCCTCTTCGACCACGTTCTTACCCTCTTGGATGAACGACGACTTAATGATGAGTTACCGCAACGTTGTGTGGAGACTTGGCATGAAAGCAATATCAGCATAATAACAAGACAACGTTAAATGGGACGTTAAGGGGGGACTTACTGTATCTCTAGTTCGACGTATGACGAACAAAGGAATTCTTTGTGGCCTGCAACTGAAAGGAGAGTGGACCGTAATAACGCATGTCATGTGTTTGATGTATCAGTTTCTAGCTTACGAAATGGTCGGCGCCTGCGCCATTATCTCATGGGGATGGGCTGCGTCCTGCGTCATGTTCGGGACCCTAAAGCTACTCGGAAAACTTCGAGTCAGCGAAGAAGACGAACAGAAAGGTACTGTAATCCCAAAACCAAATCTCTCTCTCTCTCTCTGTGCTGTCATAGAAAAATTGAAACTGGTAAAGTCAGATGTTAATTTTGGAGGAACAACTGGTGAGTCCAAAAGAAGTTATTTTCTCCTTAACTTTCTTCGGATTGCCCTGGGATCGTGACAACAATGGGACTGTTGCTAGGATGAGAAGAATACCCCAATCTATCTTCTGCTGTTGCGAGGAAAATGTGAAAACCACAAGCATTGTCTGCTGTTGCTACGATACGGGAGTCAACCCAGGTGTATTCTGCCGTTATTAGGACACAAAGGAAAATCCTAAGCTTCTTCTGCCGCTACTACCGCCTCTGTGGTCTAGTGGTCAGAGTTCCTGGCTACAGATCCAGAGGTCCGGGTTCGATTCCAGGCGCTATCAGATCTTTTCTGAGAAGTAGTGGGTCTGGAACGGGATCCACTCAGCCTCATGAGGAAAACTGAGGAGCTATTTCAAGGAAATAGCGGCTTCGGTATAGAAAACCGAAATTAATGGCCGTGAGGATTCCTTGCGCTGACCACACGACACCCTCTATCCGCTAAAGCTGGCACTAACTTCGACGAGAAGCGGGGGTCGCTCGGTCGGTATAGTTCGCTTGGGGACTGAAAGCCAGGAAGTTTGTTTTTTTTTTCTTCTGCCGTTAACAGATAAGGGACAAGAATGATGATAGGACGAATGTAAAGTTGGATGGGGAAGTATTATGGGGAAAACGATAGAAGGAGATGAAAGTAAGAATTGGATGGAAGAGTGGAGACGAGAGCGCTGGGAGGAAGAGAAGGATGATAGGTTCGACAAGAGTTTTAAAAGCAATAATGGAAAGAGAACGAAATGAGATAAAAAGCCATGTAGAAAAGGAAGATATAAATTTTTATCCTCATAAAATTTAACGGGTAATTAACCGATACGAACAACAAAACGAGTTCATGAAATTTCAATGCAGATTGTTCTGTACGGGAAAGCAAAAGGTGAAGTTATCCTTGTAACGGGCCATGGAGGCCAACAGGGTTTTGAGACGTCGAAGCTCCCACATTTTCTAGACAGTCGGCTCACAGATGGTGGTGAGATTGTCAGCGTTACGCCAATTGAAAAATCCAACGACCTAATCGGAAATCGAAACCGCGACCTCCAGCTTGTAGCCCAGTGCCTCAACCAACTACGCTATTGCGTGCCTCGTACAGGAAAGCTAGTATTTATTAATTTCTACAACAACAATTTCCCACGGAAAAGCTCACTTGGGAGCACAAGATACAGATAGAGCGATAACATAGAAAGATTCGCGTAGAATTCTTGAAGCATAGATTCATATGAACTTTTCTCTACGTACACCTAAGCAAGCAAACTTACAAATTAGTAACTGCAGAACAAACTTAACTAGCAGAGTTATAGCAGAACCGAAGGTTTAACCCAGTAATACCAAAATGTGTCAATGGACACGAACTTTTGCCAGTTTCTTCCGCCTTTCATCTTTATCCTCTACTCCACTATGACACATTTTAATGTTATTTTCCCACCTCCTTCTCCGTCTTCCAAACGACCGTTTTCTAATGGTAAGGTAAGGTAAAGTTGTCGCTTAATTAATTACTACGCCATGAAGACGTAAGGGGAGTGGAGGTATAGCTCCACAATTCTTGACCTAAGCACTCTATGGATAAGAGTAGTCAGCTTCACGTCACGGCCACTTTACCGCGGGGAAACCGCCCTCGGTACCCATTGAACGGGAGGCTGGGTGGGCCCCAGAGTCGGTCTTGACGTTGTGTAGAGAAAATTCTTTTGCCCCTATGAGGAATCGAAACCCGACCGTCCAGTCCGTCGCTATACTCATTGGGATACCACGGTTCCACTTTCTAAGGCGTCCCATAAAGATTCAATATAAATCCCCTTTTCACCCATCTTGACCGCATTCCCAGCACGTCGTACCTTCCTGACAATAGCATGTGACCTGTACACACTGCGGAATTCCTCTTTATGCAATGTTCTGAATTGTCAGTTGTTTTCTTCAGTTACAATTGGTGCTCCTCACTCAAAGGCTGAGATCACGGTTCAGACCCATAAAAACAGCGGAAAAGTGTTGCTTAGTATATGAACTGCGACTGCGCTTATCATTTAAGATGGATTTCCTTTAGTGTCTATTATAACTTAAGGGAATATATAAGTCTTCAGAAAATAAGAGACACTTTCCTTTCATTGGTTTGTAATTCATGACAAATTTCGGTTGGTTGTAAATTCGTTTATTTAGACAATAACTATAAGGTTCTTATTCCTTAAATTAAAATTGTAGGGTAAAAGGTAAAGTTGTCCCTGTGCTTAACTAATTAAATACTAGGCCATTAAGGCGTATGGGGGAGTAAATGTATAGGTCCATATTTTCTTGACCTCGGCATTAGCTGGAGGTGAGTGGTGCGCTTCACGCCCCAGCCACTTTATCCCCAGGGAAAGAGCCCCCGGTACCTGTTAGGTAGGATTTGTGTGAACCCGAGAGCCGGTCTGGACGACGTGGAGAAAAGAAAATTCTTGACCCTACCCGGACTTGAACTCTGGAACTCCGACCCCTCGGTAGTCTAGCCCGTAGCTAGTCGCTATCCTGACTACGCTATCCCGGCTCCTAAAACTGAAGGGTGCTGTAAGAAATTAAATTTCCACTGCTCTTAATATCCCAATCAGATACGTATATGTAAAGAGTGTGTGCCATTTTACAGCGTGTCCGCTTTCTCAGAGTAGAAGTTACACGTGCGAACACACAAAGCCACTGGAATCATTTTCCGCGTCAATTACTTAGAACAGTGCCTCGTTTATTTGTTTCNCACGAACACACAGCCAGTCCCCACCCCCACCCCACTAACTGGAATAATTTTCCGCGTCAATTACTTAGAACAGTGCCTCGTTTATTTGTTTCAGGGCTGGATATAGCTATGCATAATGAACCAGGGTATCACCCAATGGGATGGAAGACATTTCCTCCAGTATCTGAAACATCGTCTGCGTTGGTCTCTCACAATGATGGGCATAATAAAAGTAAGTTGCGAGACATATTCTCTGTCCCTACCTTCATTCTTCACGATCATTTAAATTAGCTCTTTTAGAGTCTCCACTGAGAACATGCCTCCCACAGTTTCACATGAGGACGGAAACAGATACAGTTTTTGAAAGGCTGTGTTCTTTCGGAATACCGGAAGATGGACAAAGTCCAGCAACTCAGGAGTCCGAATTGTAATTGTAATTACTTATCGTTATCGTTCCAGTATTTAGGCTACTGCATTAATATTATCAAGCGTATAAATATTTACCTCTCCACATATCTTGGCTACTTTCGGCCATCTTCAGATCTCACAATATATACTTAAACGGTTAACAGTTTTATATACGAGAGCTTGTCATTAAGCTAGCATTTCTTTGTAAAACAATTTAAGCCTATCTGTTTCTCCTAATTGTGTTCTATTTCTTTCGCTTTTGCCTCCCTACTCTATTTACATGGGGGCTATGCTACAAGCTGGAAGGTCGCGGGTTCAAGTCCCGATGAGGTCATTGGATTTTTTCAATTGACCTAATCCTTCCGGTCGCACTATGGCCCTGGGATTCACTCAGCCTCTAACAGAAATGAGTACCAGGAATTAATTAAATAAGTTTCCTGGGGAGTGAAGCGCAGCCGGCACTTAAGGCTGACAACCTTACCGTCATCTTTGAGCCGATTGTCTAGATAATGTAGGACCCTGAACGTCTCACAACCCTATCTATGGGCCTTGACGGCCTGGTACAGGAATAGGTTTAGTTCTTTTTACTCTATTTACATATTGTCATATACTGCTGAGGTTACAATCCTTAACGACGGCTTCGCTGAAGACTACTTACATTCTTATTTATGCATCTTAATATCAACACCGTGTGGAAATACGAAAATAAAGTAAGAAATAGAATAAGAACTGACATACAATAACAGGAAAGAAATTTTCAAAAAGACGTTTCATTGCAAGAAATCATATCTAAGACTCAAATAACTTCAGCATTTGGCGTGACTCGCAACATGGCTGAAAACAGAAACATATGGGGAGGATATACGCGATAAGTGCTTGCAACTGGGGGTACTGATGTAGTAAACACTAGATTAGATCTACAATGAATATTAATATTAATTATTAATTCCAGCTTGCCGGTCACATTGGCCGCGCGGTCTAAGGCATGAAATATCTTCGCTCTCTCAGACACTAGGATCGTGGGTTCGAATCCCACTCGAGGAATGGATGTCTGCGTTTGTTCTGTGTCCGTGTTGTCCTATGTAGGTAGTGACCTTGCGACGCGCTGATCCCCGTCCAAGGAACCTTACCGACTGTCTATAGGATTAAGAAAGTGAAGTAAAACGCATTTCCCGGATGCCTTATGCTCCAGAGGGTGCAACAGACGTTAAATAATAATAGAAAATAATTCCGCCTTCATATGTATGCAGTTATTTATGTTTCTAGCAACAGTGAACACGATGACTACAGTAAACTTTCTGCATTGCCAACAGAGAACAACGCATACAGGCTTCGACAACCTGACTTCATAAACCCAGGCTTCTCAGATACAGAAAATGGTATTCATCCGTTGGAAGTTTCGGTCAGGATGTGAGCGGTGGAACGTCTGTCATACCAACTGCTCTCTGAGACCCACGGACTGCCACGGACATATTACCTGCAGTGATCGGGGACCTTCATACTCGTACATTGTCACTGTCACCCGGATACTTGGCTTCTCTTCGCACAGACACGTTCTAGGGCCGAGCGCACGAAATGGATGACCCGCGAGTAGTGTCTCTGTCTGAGTCCTGAGGTGGTGGTTGTGAAGAACAGAGAACGGCTGATAAGTAAACTGGGGGAAGGTACAGCCTGCCCTCAGTACTGGGTGAGACGACACTCTACTCCACGAAAATAACTTAGGGAGAAAATTGGTTAGCGGTGGTCGCGAAATTATAATGTAAGATACTTGTCATCTAACATCCAACAAAATTATGGAATGTTTTGATCAGTATACGGGGACACGAGATTCGAATACATTGCTACCGAGGATCTAACTTTCTTGATATGCTCCAACTTGTCAGTGGACGTACAACCACTGTCCTTTCAAACGAAACGGATAGTAAAAATGGGAATCTAAAAAACAGGGATTCAGAATCCATACGAGTGTTGTTCCTAACGATTCATTATTATAAAGCAACTTAATGGGGCGGTGTGAGGGTTAGCAAAAATAAAAAGTAAATGGTATTTCACATTAACTCCATAAGTAAGGATCCAAGCCATAAATACCATTCATTTCTACTCGTAGCATATTAATTCCACGCAAAATACATTTTTGTTTTCGGTTACCCACCACATCGAAAAATTAAAATTACGTTCTTCTCTGATGTGGCGCCGTATATTTCGGTATATAGGTACCAACGTTGCGTTGTATTCGTAACCCTATGGTAACAGAGTTGTGCCGAGGTCAAGAATACGTGGATCTATACATCCATTCCCTCATATGTCTTCATGGCGTAGAGCTTAATTAGTTAAGCACGTGGAAAATTTTAAATTTTGCAGTATCAGAGTATGTATTAAACTGTGTGTAATAAATGGAATTTCTTTATTAACACTGTCTTCAATACTCCCTTGGATTTCAGCGGGCCGTTTCCAGTTATACTACGATTTGAAGTAAGTTTAATGAGAACAAAGACTTAAACAGAGACTAAACTGGACTGTAGTCTACCTTTAGTTACGTTTTTATTAACTTATATCACACGTCAATTCATTATGGAAGTTCCTTTATCATTAATTTGTGAACATCATGTCACGTTATAATTTAGCGTCCTGTTGCACTGACTCATGTCCGTGATTTATGCTAACCGTCTTACAGTGCACACACTGTAAGACGGTTAGCATAAATCACGGACATCATGTCACGTTATAATTTAGCGTCCTGTTGCACTGACTCATGTCCGTGATTTATGCTAACCGTCTTACAGTGTGTGGACTGTAAGACGGTTAGCATAAATCATGGACATCATGTCACGTTTTAAGAATACCCATTTTAAAATATGTAGTTAATAATAAAAGCAAAAGTAAAAGTAAAGTAAAGGTATCCTTGTAACAGGCCGTGGAGGCCCATAGGGTTGTGAGATGTTGAGGTTCCCACATTATCTAGACAATCGGCTCATAGATGACGGTAAGGTTTAAAGTTGTCGGGACTTGAACCCGCGATCTTCCAGCTTGTAGCATAGGTCTTCAACCAACTACGCTACCGCGTGTCCCTTATTAATAATAAAGTATTTGAAAAATTTACATTTTTCCTTGTCAAATATCAACAAGATAATGGCTATAGAGCCAACTTTTGCTCTTGACCCGAAAAGAATGAAGACATATTCATATACCGTCAAGACGCACCTCAACGTGTAACCAGTGAAGGTTTCTGCAGGTCTGAAGAATGTTTTCTAAAAGGAAGTATTATGACCATGGAACGTGAAACATTATGTTATATTTTTGCAAATTTATATTAAAATTCATCCGCAACCTATTAAGTCTTTATGTATACCTAAGATTGTAAGGAAATTGCATAGAACTGAGCTTTGTTCCTAAGCGATGACTACTACAACTGACACAAGTGTAACAGATATTTCCGATTTTAAACATATTAAGAACTCAAAGTTAAAATATTCGTAATAGCAGTTCCTCATACCAGACGCAGAGCCAGGAAGTGGTCGTCACAACTTCCTCTGTGGAAAAGAAGATGGAAGTTACCAAAGGCAACACCGTGCTCTGTTTATTTAAGGACGCTGATCACTCAGACTCTGAAGCGTCGGATGATAATGAATAATGAATCGGAAAGTACGTGGAAGGTAGCGGTAGTTGGGTAGTATAACATACCATCTCACCATTTGCCACGAGAGACTGAGTAAAACAGCGAAAAAGTCAGGATTAGTGTGCCGGTTAAGATACTAAGCGGACATCTGCCCAGCATAAATCAATTATTACCACTTTAACCAGGTTGCTTAGTAACATTTTCTTTGTAACTATCTCAAAGAATGTGAGTCATTCACACATATATATTAGAGGCAGATTTCTTAGAACGGGACAACGAGATTTGTGTTATATCCCATAAACCCACGAGTCAGATCGCGTTCCGTTACCAACAACTTAGTTATTAGTCATGTTTCCTTCCCATTAAATAGAATTCTGCATATATTGTTATATGGGCTGCATCTTGTCCACTTTTTCATCTAATATATGGACTGAACCCAGCCTCACATGCCCACTGAAAGGACAACATTTCTTCTTTGCACAATTCCGCGTGAATGCGCCACTTAAAATCGTGGAAGTGGAAGATGCTGGCTCCAGTTGCAGATGCAATCAGCTGCAGCCACACGCGAATATCTTGCCGAGTTAGTACTGAGTTGGGAACAGCAGAGTCCTGAATGCTTTTCTGTGACACTGTAACAAATAGGGCGGATTTTGGTTGCGCATGTGTGTGATTTACAGGTAGGTGCAGACAGGGACTGTCTCACAAAGTCCTACCTAAATACAAAGCACATGTGAGGTCTGCGAGATATCCAGACAGTGACTACGAAACGTCTTCTCTGATGTCACATCCCAGCACTCCTGTAGAAGTTAACTGAAGTTTCACACAAACGTACTGCCACCCTCCTCAGGGTCGAAGAAGAAACGGAAGATGCAAACCAACAACAAGCATTGTGCTTGCTGCTTGTTTACGCGGTTTACTCTTCGAACATGAAGATGGAGGCAGTATGATCTTAAGAAATTTCGGTTAACTTCTATCGGAGTATACGGAGTTACATCACATACGGTTGTGTGCTTCACATATCATGTAAACTGAGTGAGGTGGAAGGAGAGTGAACTTTTGACAAGATCCCAAGGATAAACCAGTTGAATCTCTTGTCACAATGGCGTGACGCATTTTCAGGTTGCGGATGGAAGAGCTGGACTATAGAAATGGAAAGCAGACGCGAATATATTGAATAAACATCGCGATCAGTCGAGAAGAGATGGTCCTCCAGTTTGGGGCTGGCAGATACCTAACAACCATTCGTCGTAAAAAGATAGCAACGCCACGAAATTAGTTTCAGTTAGATTAGTTTAGTTCAGATTAGTTATTTGGAACGGCTTTGGCAATTGTAAGCTCAGGAAGGGTGCAAGTGGTAGACTCCTGTGAACGTGTGGACACGATAATGGTCTCTCGGGTTACGCACGAAGCGGGAAACCTGTTGACCAAGCGGCTATTACCTTCTCAAGAACGATTAAACTCCATGGATACATGCAAATAAAGATGAAATATCTTGTGAATATGTCTGATAACAGATTTTCCATTTTTAATTAAATCATTCATTAATGGATCTGAAACCTTCTTGAGAGGCCGCCAATTGTGTAGCTACCCAGGAATTTCCCAGCATTTTATGGTACCCGAAGGTTCATTAACGTGTTCAGAAGAGCCCTCCACTGGTCCCTATCCTAAGCTAGTTCAATCCAATCCATGCCATCCCATCCTACCTCTCTGAGATCCTTTTATAATACTGTCCACCCACCTACGTCTTTGTGTGCCTAGAGGTCTCCTTCCTCCTGGCTTTCCCACAGATATACTACATGCATTCCTCCTCTTCCCATTCGTGCTTATACCTTGCCTATTTCATCCTCCTTGACTTGATCATTCTAATTATACTTGGAGAGGAGTACAAGTTACTAAGCTCCCCATTAAGCGGCCTCCGTAGTCTAGAGGTAACGTTCCCACATCATGACTCGTAGTACGCGGGTTCAAACACCCGGCGGAGGTCGTCGAATTTTTAAGGGCGGAAAAATTCAGGGAACAAGTCCTCCGGGAGGAACTTTAAGCCGTGGGTCCCGTGTCGTAGCTTTACGGCACGTAAAAGAACCTCATATCTCCAAAGGAGGTCACTGAGCCAAATTACGGACGTTTCCCGCCCAACAGCAGTCTCTAATACCTCAGATAGATGGGGGAAGCATTATAGATACCTCTCAGCTAGTAGAGCCGGTCTCGCTGGCTGGGCGGGACTGATGGTAAGCACCAGTACCGGTAGGATATAAAGACTGGTAGAAATCATAGAGGGAAGCACAATGGACCAATACAGGTCTAAGTGCATGGGGAAACCCACCCTCTCCAATAACTAACTAACTAACTAACTAAGCTCCCCATTATGCAGTTTTCTCCAACCTCCCGTAACTTCATCTCTCTTCGGTCCAAATATTCTCCTCAGCACCCTGTTCTCAAACACCCTCAGTTTATGTTCCTCCTTTAAAACTCTATAATTTGTATGTTGGACCTGTAGCACTCATCCGAATGTCTTTCTGATGTGGCACAATTATTGTGTGAGACGCGACGAGGAAGCTACGTGTACTGAAGACAGGAGTCCGGTTGGATCCCTGAGGCTTTCAGCGAAGAGTAATGCTGGAAAAGATACATCTTAATGTGAAATAGATACCCGGTCGTCCAGTCTGCAGTAATTAAATTTTCTGACTTGTAATAAAGCACCATGTACTTTACATTTCACACAATGACTGAATGACAAAATTAATTTCAGTCGAGACGAAGAGATGGCTACACCGACAATGCCAAGTGATGGTGGCGAAGAGCTTGCAGAACTGAAAAAGAATATTGACGATGTCTTCATCCTGACAAATGCAATCATTGTTTGCTGTAAGTACCGCGATATTAATATCTTCCCAAAAACATTAAAAATTTTAATAAACGTCTACAATCATTGTGACCAGGTCTACTTTCATTGATCTATTATTCTTTGTTTTGGACTAATTTTAAATTATTGGCACCTTATATTAAAATGTCAGAAAATTTCAGCCCCTGGGCACATTTCATGAAATACAACCATAGAATTAATAAAACGATAGGACCTACTTAATTTGATTCTGTTTTGGAATCCTCCATACGTGAGTTTCACGGTTCTCCAGTTTTATTCATTACAGGCTGAACTACGGGATTATTAGCCCACAATTGGAAAAGATGAACTACGAGGCTTAAGGGGCTACGATCAGCGCGGCTTCTCTAGAGACGCCTTATTTTCGCCTCTGAATGAATTATTATTATTCGAATACATAAGTTGACTTGTTCTTGCATCTCGCTTTCCTTTACTCGTGCTAACTTTGTAATTGGCATTTGGACTGTTAAGTTAGCGCGTACATAAATTAGAATTGAATTATTTAATTTACAGTAATGCAGTGTGGATTCGCGTGCCTAGAAGCAGGAGCCGTGCGTTCTAAGAACACTACAAATATAATCATGAAGAACTTCATGGATATCTGTGAGTATTAACATGGATATTTTATTATGCCCTTGGGTGTCAAATGATGACAAGAATCAGCAACGAGAGGGCCAGGCATGAACGAGGGATGTCTGTTGTTTCTCCGCTTGGTCTTCTCAGATAAAACAGTTCAAAAGGAAACAGAACAGTAAAGGTGACTGCACTTTTTAAATTTCGGAAACATTCTAAACGCCTAACCGAAATTCAATAATCTGTTCTTCAGAAGGTTCTGGCGACGGTTTACGTGTATAACATTTAGGGTAACTGGGTTCTTGAACTTGTCCATCGTCCGGTAATCTTAAGAACACAGCGTTTTGGAAAATTAGTTTATTTCCTTCCTTAGGGGAAAGGGTGGGAGGCAAGTACTCTTTGGGGTTCAGTCACTGATGTTAGCTATTTCTATTGGACCCTGGCATAGGCACTATGATACAAGCTGGAAGGTCGCAGTTTCGATTCTCGACAAGGTCATTGGAATTTTCAATTGACATAATCCTTCTAGCCGCACTATGGCCCTGGGATCAACTCCAATTTTAACATAAATGAGTACCAGGAACCTTCCTGGGGGTGAAGGGCGGCCGGGGCGTAACGCTGACAACCTCACCGCTATCTGTGAGCCGATTGTCTAGAAAATGTGAGAGGTTCGACGTCACACAACACTATGGGCCTCAACGGTCTGTTATAGGGATAGCTTTACTTTTTTCCTTTATTTGTAGCGGACCCAACAGAGGAAATGTCTCCCACTCTTTCACCTGAGGACGGAAAGAGATTCAGTTTCCGAAACGTTGTGTTCTTCAGACTACCCGCCAACGGACAAAATACAGAAAACCCAGTGACCCCGAGTCTATTTTCCTTTTGCACCGTCCGACTGTGTTTGAACGAATACAGTGTGAGAGCCATGCATGTTCGTAACTTTCAGATTAATTACAAAAGATTTTGCTTATATGCATATGTAAGAAATTCCTGCTGTCGACATATTGGTACCGCTGTTTGTAATTATCTGCCACCAACAGTACCAGCATGGCCGCTACGGAAACTTTCGATGTAAGCGTAAAAGCAAAGATGGGATTAGAAATTTCGAGTGGCGATAGTTCTCTAAGAAATCTTCAATGTTCCTTTAGCTCAGTATTGTGAATAGTTTACAGTAATATGGCCACAGCACGAATCATCCGTTTGCTGAGAACTGATGAACATGTAGCTAGAAGTATGGATATCTCTACTCCGAAACAACTGTTGGGAGTCTTTACACCAAAAAAAAAAAAACAGGAAGGCGTCACATTTTAAAAATAGTATTAATTTTGGCAACTATTTGGTATATTTGCTTCTCTCTTCCTTTAAAATAACCCGAGAGGAAGCAGATTTCCAGCTTGCCATCTTCTTACAGGCACCCATCTACGTTTCATGCACTATTTGGGTAAAATAAAAAACAACACGAAGAACACCAAAACGCTGAGTTAATCAACGTAATTCTTTGACCGTGAGGGCGAGGAAACACCGAGGAAACTGGCAACCGCAACGCAACCGCAATTTCCGAGAACTGTTATCAGCCTGAGTTGAACACATGTTACTGAATTGAGCAGCGCAAATTGAGAAAACTCGTTGCCGTTTCCTCAATTTGCGCTGCTCCATTCAGTAACATGTGTTCAACTTAGGCTGCTAACAGTTCTCGGAAATTGTGGTTGCCAGTTTCCTTGGTGCACCCTCGCCCTAACAACACCAAACGGAGTAAAAATCGTTACAGAAAATCTTTTAGTTCCTAATCTGTTTTCAGTTATAAGTGCTCTCTGCTACTGGCTGGCGGGCTACGCGCTGGCATATGGAGATGGGAACCCGTTCGTGGGATATACGTACTGGGCCGGTATCGGTGTGCAGGGACAGAAGATGGCACACTGGTTCTTCCAGTTCGTCTTTGCCGCTACTGCAGCTACCCTCGTATCCGGCGCAGTTGCCGAGAGATGCAACTTCGTGGCTTACATCACTTACAGCGCAGTTATATCAGGTGACATGCAACATGTTTTGTGCTCTTTACGAGAAGCGCATGGAATGTAGACATTATGGATGGGTCGCGTACTTTCCACCTCAGAAACTTGTTTCGCCTATATAAAACGCATAATTTATGGCATAAAATTTTGTATTTTTGGTGTTACGGAAGTGTGCTCAGTACGAATTCATTTATACCTCAACGAGGTGTAGGTAAATTTGTTCTTGTGATTAATGAAGAACCATGTTATGAAGACGTGAGGAGGAATGGAGGCAGACCTATGACTCCACAAATACTAAGCATTCAGCTTCACGCCCCGGCCGCTTTATCCTCCGGGAAAGAACTCTGTACCCATTGGAAAGGAGGCTGTGTAGGCCCAGGAGCAGTCTGAACACTGCTGTGGAGAGGGGAAAAATCTCTTTCAACTACCGGCATCTGAACACCAGTTTCTCTCTCGTCCAGCCCAATCTCTATTCACTATACCGACTGAGCTATCCCGGCTCCAGGTTATCAGTGTACCAGTTAAGTCGGCAACGGATATTCTTGCGCAGTATTGTGTTAAACTCCACTACACATAATTCTAGGCCCTACATAAATTTCTGCACAGATCATACATACTCGTATCTGCATAAGCAAGCTCGGTCGGGGCGTGACGCTGACCACTCACCTCCAACCAGTGCGGAGGTGAACAAAATGTGGATCTATACATCCACTTCCCATACGCCTTCATGGCATAGTACTTAATTAGTTAAGCACAGGGACAACATTATCTTACCTTTTATAAGTAAGTCTGTTAAGCAGGTTCGATCCCGGGTCTGGTCAAGTGGGATCTGTGGTGGACAAAGTGGCTCTGGGGCAGGTTTTCTCCGAGTACTTCGGTTTCCCCTGCCAATCTTCATTCCACCAGTTGCTCCACAATCACCCTCACCTATCATCTGGGGCTGGTACAATAGGCCAGAAGTGGCCGCAGTACAAGGAACTTAGTCCCACCCCACTAGCAATAAAGAAAAGTGTGTTAAGTATGTTCGTGTGTACCGTACGCTAATTAGCATTTTTTTTCTTGGCACTACAGCCCCAGTGGGCCTAGGCCTACCTCCATGAACTTCTCGGTTCACTTCGGTTTTTCTAGATCTTACACATACGGTAGGACTCCTTGGCCGGGTGGTCAGCTCGTCTCAAGGTCTCTACCTGTAGACAAACAGAGAAAAACGCACACAGACATCCATGCCCTGAGTGGGATTCGAACCCACGATCCCGGCTTCCGAGCGAGCGAAGACAGTGCATGCCTTAGACCGCTCGGCTACCGTGACCGGCCAATTAGCATATTTAGGTCTACATAATCTCAAAGGTCAGAGATACGTGAATCATCCAGTACGTGCATACATGCATAAATAATATTCACATACGATACACAAATTACACTGTTAAATATCAACGGTACAGTCATAGAGGATCGGACGAAACAAGTGAACAAAGCGGCTTAATTAAGATTAATTTCTGCTTAACTTTGTTTCATACCATATCTAGAACAATGGAGGCCTATACAAATCTTTTAAAAATTTGTCACAATGTCTGGGAACTTCCTATTATGACGTAGTTCTGAGAAAGTTGAACTGATATGAAGTCCGTTCTTGGGTTGTTACACAGTGAGGATGTGGGTGATGTCGCTGACATTTCAACGGTACATGCTCCCTCAATCTCCAAAGTCGACTCTGAAGATAGAGGTAGAACATAATTGACAACAATAATTAATCAATCACCATTAACGCCTAAAATCGTTAAAAGTTGGACTGTTTTAAATGTGGGAGCATGTGTGCTTGTGCCAGTTCTGTCTATAGCTGTAGGCGACAGATTTACATGTGATGTAATTAAGCACAAGGAAGAGCATTTCGACAAGGTGACGCGCTTTTCCAGGGTTTGTGTATCCCGTGGTAAGTCGCTGGGTGTGGGCACAAGAAGGCTGGCTCAACCAAATGGGCTACCGAGATTTCTCTGGCTGTGGTCCAGTACACCTCCTGGGAGGAACATGTTCTTTGTTTGGAGCTGCATTCCTCGGCCCTCGGCTGGGACGCTTCAGCAGCAAGATGGAGGACTCTCAGATGATGCCAGGACATTCTGTGCCGGTGAGCGTTACAACTGTATGTCTGGTCCTGATGGAACCAGGTCTTTGCGGGTCATTCGTTAAGCGGAGTTCCATGAAGCATTTGGTATATACAAAGTTAATTCTATCCACCATGACGTATTAGCTCAAGGTGGCTTTTCTAAATATGTTCGTTTATGTGGCGAGGGACTGTTCAATATTATTTCGGTCAGAAGGTATGGCCATCACATCTGACGTGAAACATGGGGCGTCGGGTCGCTTTATTCAGCACCAAACACCAACCAACATTTCTCCCTTTCAGATGAAAACGACACAGACCAAGACTCGTTGGGATAAAGCCTCAAAAAATTACTCTTAATAATGATAACCGATGAATTAATGAAGTAGTGGAGAGAATTGCACCTGTTCTCTTCCTCCAAAATGACTATATTAAGGTAATTCTAGTCTGGGTTTCTAGCGGTACCGGCAACAGAAGTAAACCATTAAGAAAAATGGGCAATACGGGACGAAAATAACCTAGCAATTCACACCCAAATTATAAGTGAGATATAACGAAAAGTTTTTATTTAACGGATATTTTGATACGCGTCTTTAACAAAGGCAGTCTAACAAACGAACCGTTGATTTGCAGGAGCACATTAGTATGACGTCATATTCACCTCAACAGTTCCCATGTTACTACACGAGACATGTCGCTGAATAGCACGGGTTCCTTTGGTCTGCATTTACTTGGAATTTGAAATCAAAGAATGGGAAAAAATTGCACATTTAAAAAATATAAACAATAATACTATGGAAATATACTGCCACGTGATGGAGCGACTATAGACAGGTTTTGGACAGATGAGTGGATTTACAGCACATTTACACAGCTCGTGACTACACTTTACACATCACTATCACACAGAGAACTAGTGTTCTCAGTCACGTTGTTTGGTGACGGCTTCAAATGCAGACGTTCATCTACCTCCAGGCACTCTTCTTTACTACTGGCACCTATCAGCTGCAGCTCCAGAACTCAACACAGCCGTCGCCTAGCAATGGTGTTTTCTCTGACTCCCCATTATTTGCTTCGGGCAAATATGCCACATCTCTCCCTCCTTAATGCTGCTCATCCCGAGTAGCCTACAGGCCTTTTCTTCTTTACTGAGGGGACGTGCCTGTAACATGTGTGTTCATCCTGGTGAATCACACTTCAGTGTCTTGCTGGTGCCGGCACTTGTTCTGGGGATGGAGTATGCCTTGGTCAAGGTTCTGAAGGGTCGGAATTTCAAGCCGTTCTGCAATATGTAACGGGCGGTTTTCACATCGATCGAAGACATGAAAGAGGTGGCATAAGGTTTTCCTGCTTAGTTACGTGAATGTGAGTACGGGGCTCTCCTTTGTGCTAATCACTTTTCGACATGGTAAACCTAACATGACATATGCATACACTACAATAAAAATAACAGAACAACAAGCAAGAAGACACAGCAACAAATAACTTTGACATCATTTATATCAGATAAAACTGTAAGTTATCATAATTTTAAAGCACTTCCTTCAAATGTATTCCTTCTGAAGATGATATATATGGGCTGAAACATGTAAAGGCAGTAAAATAAACTAACTCATACACGTTATATTGGATGGCACTCTTATGAAGATCAATAGTTCTATTTAACTATACAATGAATCAATATATCTTTATAAACATATGAACACAGTTATCCAAATGTGTCAAAATGTTACATAGAACTATCTGAAAAAGGACTCTCACAAAGTATGTCCACATAAACAAGCCCCCACAATAAATTTGACTCTATAACATACCAATCCAAATCTCTACCATTACTTATAATATAAGGCAAATTGGGGCTGCAGAAATGCATTAATATTTGAACATTTTCTCTCCCTTTAGGGTTTCGTTGTTGATTTAGGACAGTTTATTTTTATATTTTCTTTGCAGTTGACAGGTCTAGGGGGCATGATCCTCATAGCAGGGTTCCTGGCATTTAATGGTGGAACTCTGGGAACCATGACGAATCCTAGGGACAGTGAACTTATCGCCCGTGTGATAAGCAACACAGTGATGGGAGGCTCAGGAGGGAGCATTACAGTGATGCTAGTGGGCAGACTGGGGCTGGGCGGGACCCCCAGCTGGAGCTTCATGTGCACATTAAATGGCGCCTTCATCGGTATGGTAAGAAATGCCAGAATTCGATATAAGCCTGCGGTTACTGAATAATGTCATGACTTCAATGGTGTCACTTTCTTTGTACTGTAAATGGCTCCTTGACACAGGGTTTGAACAAGCCTCACTGAGATAACCGTTTCTAAGAGATTAGCAGTAAGGCTGAAATATGTTCTCCGACAAACTAATAATTAACGATAATTCTCGTATTTCATTCATCTACTCACATGTTATGGCACACCATGTACGTGATCATCGTAGCACTACACAAAATGAAAATATATGTGTCTGATTATGCTTATATCTCGAGGTCCCAGTGACGATGTACTGAACCAGGGATCCAGGTTTGCAAAGGGGTAAGTCAATGCCAGTCAGTGCTATTCATTATAAACTAATGATGTAGCACCACATTTCACATTACTGCCGTCTATGAACATGACATGCAGTCAGGGTGGTGCAGTAAGTATAGCGACTGGCTACAGGCTGGACGTCCGAGGGGTCAGGGTTTAAGTCCTGGCGGAGTCAAGAATTTCTATTCTCCACGTCATCCAAACTGGCTCTGGGGTTCACCCGACCTCCTATCCGATGGGTACCGGGGTGCATTTCCCGAGGTTAATGCGGTCAGGACTTGAAGCTGACCATTCATCTCCAGCTAGTGCCAAGGTCAAGAAAATGTGGATCTACACATCCACTCCCCCATGCACCTTCATGGCCTAGTGCTTAATTAGTTAAGCACAGGGACAACTTTAACTTTATGAACATAACATGCATTACATACAAAAACAGTGTTCTCTGTTGGGAATTATGAAACCTTGTAGTGTAAACAACAGCAGAAGTCTGTAAGAAGGTTAAATTCAAATTGGTACTACTTCCTGCCTCCTTTCAAAATCATTTCACGTATTGTGGTCTATGGGCTGGATGGCCAGGGCCATGAAATTATTCTCTAGTCCACAGAGTCCAGACAAGTTCTGGGGCCCACCCTTCCTTCCTATCTGGTTTACCAGGGGCGCCTTCTGGGGGATAAAGAGGCCAGAGCATCAAGCTCACCTCCATCTAGTTCCAAGGTCAAGAATGATGAAAATATGCCTCCACTCCCCCATGCGCCTTAATTTATTAAGCAGAGGGACAACTTTACCTTTACCTGGAATATGACACCATTTAGTCTGGTACATGAATACCAAAATCTGGTGGAACATACTGCTTTCTTCTCCAGAGTAGAAAATGGAGGTAGTATGTTCCTTGAAAACAGTACACATCTACCAAACTAATGAATGTCACAACTTAGAATACCACAATATGGATCTTTACTGCCATGAAAACCTCAAATCTTCAGCTTAAAAATATTAATAAGAACTGTGAAAATTTCAGACTGGCAAAACTGAGTTACACATAAACGTTCATTATAAATATTGTACTTTAAAGACAAAAACAACACCATCCAGTGTGACTATTTAAGCTTTATCACTTGAAAACGCACCACCCTTACATGTTTCGATCCCTAGGGATCATCCTCAGAGGGCATCAATACTTTTTCCAGAAACGACTATTACAATAGGTGTTAAATTATATACGTACACATATAATGTCTGAAATACACAATGTACACAATGTTCAACTTTTCACAGTCACAGCAGCCTTCCTGGTATCAAAATTTTTAAAGTTTTTAAAAACTTTGTTGTTTAAGATTAAAATTTATAAACCATGCAGGTTCGTGTCAGTTCTCCTATTGTCTTTCTTGGAGGTGGCTGATCTTGTGCCACCTGTCTATCTTGAGAAAGGAGATTCTTGGTATTGTCTGTGTTTGTTCATGGCTTGCTGTGTTGTTTACACTGTTCAAGCCACACAACAAGCCACGAACAAACCCGGGCAATACCAAGAATCTCATTTCTCAAGATAGACAGGCGGCACAAGATCAGCCACCTCCAAGAAAGACAATAGGAGAACTGACACGAACCTGCATGGTTTATAAATTTTAATCTTAAACAACAAAGTTTTTAAAAAACTTTAAATATTTTAATACCAGGAAGGCTGCTGTGACTGTGAAAAGTTGAACATTGTGTACATTGTGTATTTCAAACATTATATGTGTACGTATATAATTTAACACCTATTGTAATAGTCGTTTCTGGAAAAAGTATTGATGCCCTCTGAGGATGATCCATAGGGATCGAAACATGTAAGGGTGATGAGTTTTCAAGTGATAAAGCTTAAATAGTCACACTGGATGGTGTTGTTTTTGTCTTTGTAATTGTTAGTGTGACAGACCAGAATGAAACAAATCAAATTCATTGTACTTCAAGTCACAATTTTTTTTTGAAGGGGGTACTTGAGTGGTACAATATAGTGTTTTACATCTCTTGAATAACACAAGCAAGTCATAAATTCCATAAGCTATTAAATATTTTTTGCATTCATTATCATTATAATCTGTCATCATGCACTCTGAAGCAGTGGGCTGCTGGCACTTACCATCCCCCCTCCCACTCCCCCAGAAGAAAAAAGGAGCACAAAAATCCTATACGATGATTAAATGAGTAAACAATATGGTATATTACTAGATAAAGTTTCGAGTTTTCATTCTCTCCGCCTGCAAATGAGCCTTGCACAAAAAAAAAAAAACAAAACAAAAAAAAACATGAATGAATGAATGAATGAATGTATAAGGGGTGGGCCTTCTCGGCCCTTGCACCATGACCTACAGTGGTTTATTGTGCTTAAAAAAACATAATTTTTATAAATATCAAACCATACTCTACAAACACATTCAAACTCTCCAGATGTCATATTTTATATTATCATATAAAGCAGAAAAATGATTGGATGTTAGTTACCAAATATGCATAGACTTAAAGAAAAAACTTCGATTTTCTGAAAAAAAAGAAAACATGTTAATGGGCATAACATGTATGTATGCAATATTATACATAATATTTATAACAGTTACCTTTTTTCTGGTGCACTTGTAGTACACAAGACAATTTGAATGAATGCTGATATGTAATTTCTAAATAGCATGAACTTCCAACGTAATGGTACTAATACATGCATGACTATCGAAGCATACACACCAGAATCTTTGGAAACCTGACATTTTTCAACTGCTAATTTTTACTAGAAAATACTCTGGTACAGCAGACTTTCTACACATTTGGGTTTAATCTCAACAAATAACATGGTTCATTAATTGTCTGCTTCTCATTATCCACTGACAATTACTCATATTACTGAACATTATCCTTTTATGTATTTATGGTCAGATTTCCTTTCCATCCATTTTTCATTATTAAGCTACAAATATTCCTCAATATTATCTTCATATGTTTAACATAACAATCACATTTCCTTACCTTACGTCCACAAATAGATGCAAACCTTATTACACAGTAAGTACACACTCTTTCACACCAAAAAAATGCATAATTTCTCCGAAGAACGAATTATCACCGGGTACCAGCAACCAAAATTTAAATATCTCGCCAATGATTGGTTGATTAAAAATAGACCGCATTGCAGCCATCTATAGGCAAGTAATTACACCATGACATGCATCACATTCACAGAGGTCGTTGCAAGAAAGTCATGGTGTGCGTTCACGGAAAGACTGCTATACTGAAATAAAATGTTTCTAAGAATGTGCTACAGAGGGCCGGAAGAGCATTGCCTAGGCCTTTTTTTCTATTTAAAATTATTTTTCACACTAAAAAACCTTCTTAGCCTGTGTATGGTAACATGTTTCCACTAACAGCAACTCAGCTGTAACTGGATTATCCTGGGCATGTTAAATGTATATTTAGCATTTATATAAAACTTCTCAGGAGTACCATGTATAAAAGTTTAACACTCTAGCTCAATGATCCAATGATCAAGGCTTTCCCTTTTTAACAGACTAACCGGATGATGGAAATTGATCAAGTTTCCAAAAAAACTTTGTGTATTACATGTACACTCTACAATGGACAATGCCCAACACAATATTTGTGTAATCAAGACAACCACTGTCATCACTCCAGATAATCATAAAACTCCATATGAATAAATGCCAGGAAAAAACTTAACTGTTAGCATAGAAAAAGACAGTACAATAAATGTCCCTCTTGTAGCCAACACAGTGGTCTAGGACATTTAAGAGTAAATGGTTTGATGGTAACAGGATAAAGAAAATGCATGCATACATGCATGTGTGTATTGGTTCACAATGACTGTCATTGTATTCTGGTGCCCAAATGATGCTAATTCCAATCCACCACCCATTGTCCAACTTGCAGATGTCTAGTCTTCACTACTGTCTTCATTCCTTCATACCAACTTATTCTTGCTTTTCCTTATTTTCATTTTTGCCACAGGTACCCACATCATTATTGTTTTCAGCAAACTTTAATCTGTTCTTCATTGGACATGACCATATCAACATACTTGTATCTCTTCCCCGATTATATTTGGCCTAGCCATTATATTTCTCTCATTTTTATGTTCCAAACTATGTCCAACTCAGATCTACCTGCTGATATCCTCAGAAAATCGATTTCAGTAGCCAGCAGTTTATTCACCTCTTCTGTTTGTGTCTGTCACACCTCTCATCCACATGTCAAGTCCTCCACTCAAAGCTTAACATACTGTGACATATTGTGACATATTAATTTTTTTACATTTTGTTGTATGTTTATTCCAATGTATCGGATTCAGTTCGTACATGTATTCTTGGCATATCTGTATCTCCTTCCCATTTTCTAAATCAACAGGTGTTAACTCTTCACCAATACTTAGTATTTTGTTTTTTCCCACATTGATCATAAGTTCCAATTCATCATTTTCATCTTTATGTTCTGGTCATATATTCAATATTATGATCTTGAGCTATGAGTAATTGATCATATGCGACATTCAGTGAATAAATATTGCTATTCTCCATTGCTACGGCCAGAGACAGTTCAAGAGTCTGTGGGGTTGTAGACCATTGATCAGGGCAATGCAAAATGTGGTGGGGTGTATGTTAGAAGCTCTATTTATTAGAACCAATGAAGACAGGGAATGTATAACACATTATTTTAGTTGCCTTAGGGGCCCTCCACCCTCTCTCATGAGACAAGCTGCATGCCCTCCTCATGTGGGGCCCAAGGCCTACTTCATCTATGCCGTAATCTGCCCCTGGGTATACCCATTCCATGAGGCATTCTTTTCCTACATTAACACACATTTCAGATATATTTTGAATAAAGGCTGTGGTGAAGATAATTTAAATGATCAAAATAAGGCATATATTTCTTTATCTCCTGTACTAGCCAGTCCACAATTCATATCGTCCTCAAAACATAAAACTCTAAAAATATGCTCAAAAGCAGATTCAGACTTCACACAATGAGACTGTGCCTCATCCTATGGCTGAGGGAAGTGGAAATGTTTGATGATCCCTTTTCTTACACTTTCCAGGTCTCAGTGTGTGCAGGTGTCAATGAAATGAACATGTGGGAGAGTTTTGTTTCTGGAATAATTGCTGGACCAATCTACATGATAATCCATTATGCTGTTTTGTGGTGCAAAAGTAAGTTCAATAACATATTCATTACACATAATACAGAGAGTAAATGAAAGGTGCAGGCAAACTATGGGCATAAGTTCCATATACCAAAAAGAAAAAAAGTCCACAATAATGTGTTTCTTCTAAAATTTAATTTGTGTTATAGCTGAAAGAATAAGGTGTAAACATGAGCAGCAGTTCAGCATTAATGTGTGGGCTGTTGGTAATTGTTTAGTATGTCTAAATTTTGCCACATCAGCTTACAGGCAACCTTCACCAAGATTTCCAATTACATGATCTGCCAAAGCTACTGGAAAATGTATCGTTGGCGGTCAGAACATGAATGTGGTACATGCATGAAGGTGCTCCAGCATATTTTAGCCATGTTGTGCGAAATGTTCTCAATGACACTTATCCTCTGGAGTTTTACCTGTGGGAATGCCTAAAGCCCTTGTATAAGAAGCTCCTGTTGACAACAAAGGGGCACTTCACCATTGCACAGAAGGCTCTTCATTTAAGAATGTGTATACTGAAACAGGGCAATAGTAACACGAAACATCTAGCCTATACGTCATTAGTGAGACTGATACTTGAGGGACCCATATAGAGAATGGCAGGTTAGCACTTCTGTTTCTGCGCCCTCTACAAGGCATACACCAGAAGACAGACTCGGAGAGCGATAGGGGATAGCCTGCTTAAACCATGCTACCTGAGTAGGGACGATCATATTTGGAAAGTCAGAGGCAGGAAACAAAGAACATATGTTGGCAAATATTCCTTTGTAAATAGGACCATAAAGGATTGGAACAGTTTACCTGCAGGCATACTAGCGTCTTTCCCCTGTAAACTAAACACTTTTAGAAAAAGGGTTAGGAAAGCTGTCACAAGTACAGCGGCCTTAGGTGGCGTTGAATGAAACAAGTGAAGTAATGTGAAGTGTCCTTGTTCAAGTGCAGTGAAACGAACACAAGCACGTGTCCTTTTATAACTTTATATGTTTTGATTTGCACTGTGTGTACCTTGTTCACTGTATTGTATTTTGCTTTGTATTGTAGTATTTTGTTTTGTATTGTTCCCCTATGTTATAGACTTTCCTTGTCTCTATCAGTGTAAGTTCTACTGCCGCCGAGTGAACACCCAATTGCAGTAAAATAATAATAATAATAATGAACGTCGGATTGTCTGAAACTACCCCAGCATCTTTGAATGGATATGAAGGTCCATGATGAGACACATTGAGGTGTGTAGGACATTTTGAGCACTGATTATAAATGTACTTTTTCAGCTATAACTCACAAATTAAATATTTTTGGACACATGTTGATAGATTTTTTTTTTATTTTGCTATGTGAAACTTGTGCCAAAAATTTATCTGCATTTTTTAGTTACAAGCTGCATATTTAATGCCTTAATTTGTAGTATATTTGGTTACACGTGAATGCTGATGCCCGTAATCATTTGTCTCTGTGACAAATGACTTGGTAAATTTTACAGTTAAACTGAACCACACATGTAATGCAACTACTACTCTTCTGACAGCTTCTTTTAGATCGTATGTCACATCTGGGAGCTGACAGGTTCTTATTTCTGCACCAAGACCAGGTATCCTAAGATATTTCATGGATCTCTTCAGTCCCTCCAAGTGAATGACAGGATAATACCGCAAATTATGTCATAATGTTGATAGCACTGTTCCCATTCTACAAGTTCAGATGACTAATATTTGGTATTACTGAGGGCAGGGCCTCTAATTGCATCGTGTTCCAAGTGTAACGAATCGAATAACAGACAGATCAGCACAATAATGGGAGTCCTTTAGAACCCTAAAAGTGAATGACATCTCTTTTGACACAATATGCAAGCTATGTGTAACACATTAGTTATAATGGTACCATCCTATTTACAGTTGATGATCCACTGGATACAGTAGCTATTCACTTAGGAGGAGGAGTTTGGGGTCTTATCTCAGCGTCAATCTTTTCAAACAGTGGACTTGTATTTGGCATCACCAGAAAATCCCTGATGGTAAGAACAGCTTCCTGTGTTCTACATCTATAAATACACAAGGGCATTCTTGAAAAATTAAGTTATGTAGCTGTATGAAAATTTAAACAACTATGTATTTCCCATCATTCTCTCGCAGCTTCGTTATTATAATTTCTGCTGCCCAGAAGTTTGAAAATGAAAACTATAATCATACACTCTGTTAGATTCAAACTTGTTTCTCACAAATGTTATGTACAGTGAAACCTCACTAATTTGAAATTTGTGGTAATTCAGGCAACTGTTTTTTCTTTGTGCATTTGACCTTGAGGATCACATCAACAAGATTAGCCAGATATAGTAAAAGAACAGTACAAAAGAGGAACACAAACCAAAATAAGTTAATTTTTAAACACAGTCTCAATAATACTAAGTACGTAGGCTACCTGAAATGTTTTTAAGACTGATGTAAAAACACACAATTTTACATTTTATCATAAGTAAATTAATTTTATTATATGGAATCTTAGTTAAAAAATAAAGTTGTATTGCCTAAAAAGACACGTGAAATTCATTTACAACTTTCCTCAGCATATTTCACTATCACTTCTCTAATTTGAACTTTCACTGATTTGGACAAGGGTTCACTCCCAATTAGTGAGGTCTTACTGTTATGTTCTACCTTCAAAAATTTACACAAACTCCAAACACCACAAGTTTTCTACTGAATGATGTTGAATTTAAATACTAATGATGATTCAAGTCTAGGACAGAATGTAACTAAATTATTATTCTGGGCCCACTCATCTCACAAGTCAGCAAAAGCCTTACATTCTTTATATGACACTGACATTACAGAGGGTTACTCCGGGAAGTATACTGACTTCTTAAAAATTTAAACTTCACAAAATAACGATAAAAACCTGTGCTGTTTTTTCTTCTGACATGACAGGAACCTCTCAATCTGATCTTCATTTTCAAATCACTTTAATCACCATTTGTAAGACTGTAATGTTGCAGAGAATGCAGCTCCAATGGCACTGATGATTTTCAACCTTAATTGCTGTAATCATTCATTTTACTGATCACATTCTGAATGTAACTATTCCTCCAAAGCAATGAAGGTGGCATCAGCTGGACTACAAGGCTGCCACATAACTGTCTACATTTTCACAACCAGAAATTAAGAAACCTTAACTCAATGCTTCACAAATTTTTGTGCTGAAGTGTGCCTTCCCACTCAGGAAGAGTTGTTAGTCTCATGTTCAGTGTTGTTTGTGAACAGACATACAGTTGCAAAAATCTAGAAAAATGTGTCTGATGTTACTTTCTCAAGAAAAAGAAACTTCCAATCATGCAACTTAGCACTATTACACATCACATATTTACTTTGGGAGTGTCACACTGTCTTCACTAAAACATGAATAATCCCTGATTCCAAAACTATGGAAATGTTACAATTTACCTCACTATGTGTGTGAAAAGTACATATCTTCATCAAAAGAGGAAGTCTGCTTCAGGAAATTCAAACTATCAGTTTGAAGTGATGCACATTTAATTTGCTTCAACCAATCAAAAGGTTTAATTTCATGTTTAATCTAAACACCCAAAGCATGAAATTGCTATAGAAGCTAAACTTCCTGATACATCAGAACAAAAACTATAATTGTATGTACAATTTTTTTCAATGACTGTGTACCTTTACACCTGACTGATAAACCAAGTAGCAACTAGTTAATGTCTTTTGTCTTCACTTTAAGACTTTAAAATGACTGTACAGTACAACTATATATATTTACTTTTAGAATATCCAGGTGAACTTTGGTTTCTCTGCTTCACTTCCTCACTATAAACTTGTAGAAGTTAATTAAAAAATGGAACATACAAATGAAATACATAAAACTATAATACAAAACTCAAATCTTTTTCTCCAGCTATTGGCCTATCGGATGGCTGGGGCAACCATCATCTTCTCCTGGGCATCTGTTACATCTTGCATTACGTTTGGAATTCTGAAATGCACTGGGAAGCTGAGGGTCAGTGCTAAAGATGAACAACAAGGTAAGATACTGCTAATTACATGGCTTTATAAGCCGACACATTCCGTTTTATGTTCATTTCTATATAAACAGAAGCGGACACAACAAACTGATTTTACAATATCTGACAATGTACTATTGTGTCATAACTTTTTGCTGTGAAACTTGTGGGATATGAAAATTATGAATGATGCATTTTAAGGAATGGAGAAGTAGCTGTGATCTACTCTGAGGAACTACTTTTACATTTATGCTTCTATTGCATTCACTGCTTGAGCCTGGTTTTCCTTAGTTTTCCTAAACAGATGCAGGGATAGCATTTTTTGCCTTCTTAAAATTCCAGCCCACTGTACTCATTCCTATTAAGAATGGTAACACTCCTTTTAGAACACACATATAAAGTATGCTGCATGTCATTATGGCAGAACATTCCAGCACTGAGGTAAAAGGTAATGCGTTACCTTTAACAGCTTCAAAAACTGCACCATTTATGTATTCATTGATTTGCAAAGAGTGATAAACAGGATACTGTGAGTTTCTTCTTCCTTCATTATTTCATCACCAGAGAAGGAAGTATGGACACACCACACATACATCGATTCTTACAACATGTTTCAGCTCACTAAGCCATCATCATGTTTACTTCTTACACTCAACTGCATTCGCATGCTAGTATTCCTACATTTTCCAGTGTTTACATATTGGAATATGCCATTATACAAAAAGGCATGTTCACATTTAAGACTAAATAAAGAACATTTCAAAATAAAAGGACCAATTGTTAATATGTTAAGTAAAAGTAATGGTATCCCTGTAACAGGCCGTGGAGGCCCATTGGGTTGTGAGATGTTGAGGTTCCCACATTTTCTAGACAATCGGTTCATAGATGGCAGCAAGGTTGTCAGCCCTATGCACCGGCCGCCCTTTACCCCCAAGAACATTCCAAATATATTCCTGGCACTCATTTCTGTTAGGGGCTGCGTTGACCCCAGGGCCATAGTGCGGCTGGAAGGATTAAGTCAATTGAAAAAACTCCAATGACTTGAACCTGTGAACTTCCGGTTTGTAGCATAGTGACTCAACCAACTACGCTACTGCTTGCCTTATTAATATGTTAAATCATTAAAAGTAAACCTATATTAAAGTATTCTTATGTTCTGTCTGGATGTAGTAGTAGCTGCATGTAAATATGTCTCCTCTATCGATGTGTTTCTTTGAAGATCACCCTGGTCTTGTATTCATGTAGTATGTTTTGTTGGCTTGTAGGTATGGGACTCCATTTTCTCCTTGTTTGTGTTCCTTGTATTTGGAAGAAGTGTTGTTTTGTATGTGGTGGTTGTGAAACAGTGGTAAAGGAATAATAAAGAAATTTCACACAAAATATTACAGTACACTATAATATATTTCTAGGACATAGTAATAAGAGTTTTCTCACCCCCAAATTTAATGCATAACGAATTCTAGCAAATACTCTAGAAAAAACAAAGTCATCTCTGACTTCTCCATGATTTATGAACCAACAGGTATGAAAATCACATGGGACTAGATGGATCTGAGGTTCTCACAGAAGTGACCATGAAGAGTAGGGTCCTCTGAATTCTAATGACATAATTTAGAAGATGACACACATTTTGGAGTAATACAGCAAGCAGTTTGCTGCCTACATCTCGCTGGTTTCTTGCTTGGTTTACCCTTCAACCCTAGAAATACAAAAAGCTCTCATAATTCTACTCTTCCTTACACCAACAAAAGTAGATTTAGTCACTACAGGCATGAAGTGTTTATTTTATTCACCAACTTCTGAGTTTCACACATTTATCCCATGTGTTGAGTGCACAAAAGTAATATGAAACATACTAACATGTTTGATTTACCACAGGTTTGGATATCTCTCTCCACAATGAGCCTGGATATCCAGTAAAGGGATGGCAAACAATGGTTGTGTCAGTCCAAGGGAATTCTGTGTAAACTCATACTAGTTTCTTCAGTGCTATTATTTATATGTCAAGCAATATGATTACAAGCAAATTACAAAATTATATGATACATCAATTCCATTGCAAAATAGAAAACTGAATAAACATGTTAATAATTATCATCAATTACTCTACTGCCATTCTCCATCAGTTACTTAAGACATAACATTCACAATTACAATTATTTATAAGAACAAGTATCGTGTTCTTACACGTTCAAAATTATTATGAAAATAATGAGTATTTGGTATGGAACACCAGCCTTACATGAATCTCTTTAATATATACAAGCACCACACTGTAATGCCAACAACACAATACTAATAAGGCCACAAATCATCTGCAATATAACTTTTGAATTACTCAATGTTACAGCTAATAAGCAAGTTGCTCCAAAAGATTGTCCGTGTGTAGTCACTGCATCTCACAACAGAGGAAAACTGGATCAGTCTCAGATACACTCCAAAAATACATATACACAAAGAACACATCTACATATTTAAGGACCTATCATACAATCAGAATCAAATTAAATTAAAAATAAATTGCTGCTTTCTGAGTTTCTCCCACAAGGACAATACAACACTACAGTGTACGATGAGGGTTGCTCAAATGAAACCTATCAACCAACAGTATTTGCTAGCAGTGCCAGAAATAGGTTTCATCTGAACAACCCTCAGATTACATAAACACAAAACAAGTAATTTTAAAGTAGAGCCTAAACAATACCACAAATCACAATAAACAAAATACTTCACAGTATGAGTAAGACTTTGAGTTTTCACAAAGAATATTATATGCACAAAGTTCTATCACTAAATGTTATTTTGTTGCTCTGAAAAGTAAATTACATTAGATGTTATGTAAGCATATTTTCTTTTTAGAAACAAGGCTTGAATGCATTTATCCAGGAAGATGCAAATTTTATTTTTAGTCTCTTAATTTAAAAATTCACATGAAATATGACACAAAATGAAGACAAAAGCAAATGTTTCATAGCTCCAAAGACTTGTGTTTCCTTAAAAATATTATGCCTCTAGAAAAGAATCTACCTGTATTACAAATGTTATGAGAAATAAACTGCAACAACCCCTTTTATGAATAACTGAAACGAGGGACATGATTGTGTCATTCATATGATTCCAGCAAGAATTACTTGTAAATGACAAGGAAAAGTACCTTCTTCTGGGATGTGATGTGATGTAGTCTGGCAGAAGTTCACCATGTTCCTCCAAAACAAACAGGTATGTTAAATTCTACCAGACTATATGGCACCATGTCCCTTAGGATAGTACTCTTCACAGTCACTGCCGCAAGACCCTCAAAGCCAATATAAATGCCTACTTTGTAGTATTTACTCTATCAGACCCCTTCTGTCAGTTAAACCCTGCCCTCTGCCAAGACACATTCACACATGTCAATATGAACAATGTGGGAATTAAGGATGTATGAATTTAGAGTTCTGCAGCTCAGTAGAGTGATGGGCAACAGGATGGATGACTGAGGAATATGTGTTGGATTCCCAGCACGGGTAAGAAATTTTTCTCTTCTCCACAGAATCTAGACCAGCTCTGAGGCCATTCCCCATAAGTTTTCATGGTGTGGTACTTAATTAATCACAGAGACAACTCTANTGATGGGTTACAGGATGGATGACTGAGGAATATGGGTTGGATTCCCAGCATGGGTAAGAGATTTTTCTCTTGTCCACAGAATCTAGACCAGCTCTGAGGCCATTCCCCGTAAGTTTTCATGGTGTGGTACTTAATTAATCACAGAGACAACTCTACCTCACCTTCATCTTACATCAGTCTTTTAATGTATGTTGTTCAGAACTCAATAATGTGCAGCCTAGTAGTTCCTAGCCAGTTCAGTTAGAAAAACTAGTAAAAACAATGGGTTTTCTCTGGAACGATATCCACTCTGCTTCACACTGTACAGTACACGTAACAGCCATCAAACTGCAGCATAACTCACATGTATAAACATATCTATTTACAAGAAAAAATAACTTTGTGTGGTATTATAATCAAAGAGAATGTGATCACTCACATTTTACAGTCACAGTGACAAATTATGAACAATGGGTTGTCAGATGGCTTCTGTACTGTTAGGTTGGTACATATTGGAGACACAAATAACAATAATGGACCTCTATACAGGAAAGCACTCATGTTCAACACAATTTTTTTAGTCACTACAAGAAAAGCCTAGTTTTAAATTATCATATTTCTATTGAATGAATACATATATAAACCCAAAGCTTGCGATTCTGCTCTTCTTCTGTCTTTAGTCTGCCATTATGAAGAAGTTTGAGTTGTTAGCAGTTACAGCCAGGACCACTAGGCAGCAATAACAAGTGCCTATGCTTCAATCAGCATTGTATTCTGGGTTTTTGTCATCAAAACTTCCACTGTTCATAGTGTGTACATTCAGTGATTTAATGTAAAAGAGTGGGTCAATGCAGGGGTTATCTGTGGAAGCTGCAGCTAGAAATGAATATTGTTCTGCCCATTGGTTGCAGTTGACATTATTCAGAATAATGTGTGACTGCATATTACTACACCAGAAGATTCCAAAATATGCATGGGAAATATGGTGTGCATGGTGGTAATGTCAAATGATATTAATAAACTGTATGAAGTGTTTGTCAATGCTTATTTCTATCTGAGGACCAAACTACTTAACTGCTAACTATTACAGATGGAAAAATTGTGACTGAAAAAGAAATTAGTCATCTCTCTTGGCAGTGGACTAGTCAACAGTCATTATGACACTCTGTTGCAAGTTGAAGGAAAAAGGGGTTAGTTAGTTAGTTAGTTATTGGAGAGGGTGGGTTTCCCCATGCTCTGAGACCTGTATTGGTCCATTGTGCTTCCCTCTATGATTTCTACCAGTCTCTATATCCTACCGGTGCTTACCAGCAGTCCCGCCCAGCCAGCAAGACCGGCTCTACTAGCTTAGAGGTGTCTATAATGCTCTCCCCAACTACCGGAGGTATTAGAGACTGCTGTTGGGCGGGAAACGTCTGTTAATTTGGCTCAGTGACCTCCTTTGGAGATATGAGGTTCTTTTACGTGCTGTAAAGCTACGACACGGGACCCACAGCTTAAAGTCCCTCCTGGAGGACTTGTTCCCTGAATTTTTCCGCCCTTAAAAATTCGATGACCTCCGCCGGGTATTTGAACCCGCGTACTATGAGCCATGAGGTGGAACGCTACCTCTAGACTATGGAGGCCGCTAAAAAAGGGCTTAAGTACTTCTGATGAAATTTGTTTTAATGGGAAACCTCTGCCAAAAACATTTGTTCTTGATGCCAGCACCCTTTAATGCACACCNGATGCGCGGCATGTTTGCAAGCAGAAGGAGGTCACTTTCAGCACCTGTTATAAACCACGGTAAGTTATCTTTTTACTGTATTCTTATAAATGTGTGCATGTAGAGCAACTGATGGACGGAGACTCAGCGACACCACTACACTCACGCTATCGGGGAACGGCACTGCAGTCGCGGGGAGGAGTTGCATCCGTTCTGCGGTGGTATGACTCACGGCAAATTGCAGCCGCGGCACGCACTTGATTGTACGCACTGTATTACAGATGGAAACATTGTGACCGAAAAAGAAATTAGTCATCTCTCTTGGCAGTGGACTAGTCAACAGTCGTTATGACACTCTGTTGCAAGATGAAGGAAAAAAGGGGTTGGTTAGTTAGTTAGTTATTGGAGAGGGTGGGTTTCCCCATGCACTGAGACCTGTATTGGTCCACTGTGCTTCCCTCTATGATTTCTACCAGTCTCTATATCCTACCGGTACTGGGGCTTACCATCAGTCCCGCCCAGCCAGCGAGACAGGCTCTACTATAATGCTTCCCCCATCTACCGGAGGTATTAGAGACTGCTGTTGGGCGGGAAACGCCCGTTAATTTGGCTCAGTGACCTCCTTTGGAGATATGAGGTTCTTTTACGTGCTGTAAAGCTACGACACGGGACCCATGGCTTAAAGTCCCTCCTGGAGGACTTGTTCCCTGAATTTTTCCGCCCTTAAAAATTCGACAACCTCCGCCGGGTATTTGAACCCGCGTACTACGAGTCATGAGGTGTGAACGTTACCTCTAGACTACAGAGGCCGCTAAAAAAGGGTTAAGTACTTCTGATGAAATTTGTTTTAATGGGAAACCTCTGCCAAAAACATTTGTTCTTGATGCCAGCACCCTTTAATGCACACCTTTATACAACCAAATGTAGTCCCACAGTCAATAAGTTTGTGGAATGGCCACAAAGCGTCGTATAGGACTTTACTACCAATATGTTTCAGCAATGTTTTCGACAGCTATATCATCATTGGCAGACTTGCATAGCGGCCAACGACAACTATTTTGAGGGCCGATGTGGATCTGAGTAAGTGTATGTGAATACCTTGTAATATTATGCGATAAAACCACANTTCACTGTTTACTGAATAAAACCTATGCACTCTACAATTTAAACAACAGTTCATTAAATCTAGGATATAGTATATAGACACACACAATAAAATCCCTATTAACGAATCCCTGGTGAAATGACTTTTCTTACAGTAAGTCAAAGTTCTGACTAAATGTGGATTATGCAAAATTATATAAAAAACTGTTCATCTTTTTATAAGACTTACTGTACACTATTACACAACAATAATTTTTATGGAAGTAGTTAAAGAAACAGTCACATAATTCAGAAATACCTAATTAATTTCTAAAATAATCAATGAATATAAAATAAAGACTGAAAGAAATTGTTTCTACATAAATATATACAATTACAAAACTGATAATACCAAATTAGTTTCTAAAGCAATCAGTGGCATAAGAAACAAACACATTGGTGGTGAGGGAACAATTTCTGGCAAAGAGAAAACGTGAATACTGAATGTTCTTTTGACCACAGTCATTTTAAATCATGAAGGTTGACAATTTTATACTATAAGGAGGTTATTCACTAAATACAGGAAAATAACACACTGTTTAGAGTGGGCTTCAGCTGGGACTAAAAAAAGAATATTCATTAACTGTGGAAGCACTATATTTGGATTTCACAGCATAATATTTCAATTACATAAAGGCCTGTATTACACATAACTAGCTACATCAAGGATGTAGAATTAAATTCATACACTTATCACAATTGGAAGCACAATGAGGACGAGAAATTCAGCAATTTGAAAACTGAGAATTTAGGCTACTCTCCTCTCAGTTTCTTTGAAATTAACAATAGCATGCAGATGAAGAGTCATTCAGATGAACAGTAGAAAGCCTCTCCTACCCAAAAACCATTTGCACCATCATGTACACCCTGTCCATAGCAGAATAACCAATACCACCAATATCACCAATATGTTTTGAATTTTGGTTCCATTTTTTACAGGGATGTTGGAAGTGTGTGTGTGTGTGTGTCACAAACTCTGAATTTCAGTTATAGGATGAAGCATGTCTCTTGGTCCCTTTAAGACTACTCAGAAGACAACAGAAAACTGGTGAGACTAGACCTATGTATGTTCAATGAAAATTGAGACAATGAGTCCTTCACATTCTGTCACATAATCAACATGATCATCACTTTAGACTTCACAGCTGTTTTTCAAAAGGCAGTTATCATTATGAATGAATAAGGCTGGAGAAGTGTCAACACCAACAGTAATCAGGATAAGTGGATATGGCTGCAATAGTGTCAAACTGCATGTTAAACAGTGGTTATTGCTATGAGTGGTTAAGGTAACAACTCTCGAACAGCTCAGAGAGTAATGGTTACCATTTGGAAAAAATAAAGCTGCAATAGTGTTGGAGAACATGTTAAGTTGCTGTTATCATTATGAGTGGACATGGGCACAACAGTCTCAAACAATACTGTCACGTGTTTGCTAGGCAACGTGACAAGAAATTGTGTGGGTTCTCAGATTTGAACAAATATTTATTGGACATTCACTTTTACACTCACACTTACAGTTATTCACTTACAACACCCTTTAGATGTTTCCTCTCCAATGTTACAATGCTTCTTGCATAGTATATCGGCTCGTTGTAATCTCTTTGTATCATTCTGTATCTCGGCTCATTATAATCTGGTCTTCCCTTATACCCTACTGTCAGATGGGACAGAAAACACATTGTTCAAGGGTTTTTTTTATGTGTTCTATCCAGTAGCTAGTGTGTTTCTCGTTGTAGAGGTAACTTTACTAGTTAGCTACAGTATTCTCTTGTTGCTACGAGTTTTCCTAGCCATTGTCATGCAACTGCCTCGAGCAATTCGTTGCTTAGGTTTGCTAGTGTTCAGATTCCTAAGTGTTGAAGCAGGAACGTTAGTCATTGCCTAGGAAATCAACCCTGATCTCCTCAACCATTCCGGCTTTCTGGTGGCATGCCACAATATGTTAGGAAGTGGTTACAGCAGTGAGTGGATAAGGCCACGACAGTACTCAATGTGTGTTAAGTTGTGATTATGGGGTGAGTGGATAAGACTAGAGCATTATCACAGCCAGTGATTAAGGCTGCACCAGTGTCTAACAGCGTGTTAAGTAGTGGTTATCATATTTTTTGGTAAGGCTGCAGTGGTGAACAACATACTAAGTACAAAT